TTTTTCTAGTTCGCTTGCTGGTGTTGACCAGTTGTAGTTCGGCTCCATTACCGAAAGCGATTGCAGCATCATGCCTGAGTTAAACAGGAGGATCGTCTTAGCCTCCGGTACTGTTGGTAACCAGTCGAATTTTTTGGCTGAGGAAAGAGTATCTGTTTCGACAGATAAGTCCGGTCGTAGCGCGTTTCCTGTCAGATCGGTGTTGCATACTTCACGGAGATCGTTGTTCTACCGAACGACAACTGAATTGCGTACAAAAGCGTTGGATTCAACACCTGATGAAGATTGAATGGCAAGACGACGTAAAAAGTGGCCCTATCATCTTTCGGATGCCGGTACCTTAGTAAATGTGGAGATTAGCTCCGAGAGACAAACTGGTTTAGCCATTTACTCCATCACCTGAGGCGAAACGTGACAGATGCTAGCCAGGAGGGCATCCTGCAACTAAAAGGAGCAAAATGAGGCAGATGTGCTTTCGCAGAGGAATACTTCGATTTACGATGAGTAACCTGTGGCTGTAGCAAAAGCGTTTAAACGATGCCACTACAGGGTACACAACAAACCAGCTACGTTCTGTTTATCCACACGACTCATAGTGATGATCGTAACAAACACACACAGCACAATTTTCTTTTTACTTAAATTTTATAACGGGGCGTTTTGAAGCCGACGCAGTCATGTAGGTATGAGGAAGGGGGTACCGATGCTGCTGTGACATTTCGGCTTGTTCTTTGATGCAACAGGTATCACGATAATGGACAAATTATGTCGAGCATTTTGGTGTCGTCATGGTAACTAGGGTCACAGAGCGCCATTGCAAATCATTGTGCGACCAGTGACCATCCAGAGAATGTTGCTTTAAAGTACATCTAAGCGTTATTACGCAAAACTCGTGCAACACCAGATTTCACCATGTACTGCAATGCCCCTTTAGGGGGGAGAGGCATTCTGAAAGGTCACGGCTCCGTGGGATTTGAGCTTCTGCAGTGCGACCTGCATCTCGAATCATTTTGTTTGTCAAATGACGCATGATTCGTCCAACACCGGAATTTAAATACTCCCTTTGGCAACTAGAAACTAAGGGCGGTAGAAAACGCTGCACATCTGGTCTTGGTCGTGTTATGCGCTGTTTGACGTACTGTGGCGTGGGAACATATTTTGAAATCTAATTGTTCTAGTTATGACGAATTTTATTATATAAGTGGCCCGGTATTTTCGGTTTACTAGCAAGTGCTAGTCCTCGATACCTCTGCCAAGAATAACAGTCTTCTGTCGCTTCTCCGGATTTAGACGGCATAGTCAGATCGAACCGTTGATTGTAACCGCCTAACGGTCCCATGAAGCTCGCCACGGTTCCGTGGTGTTATGGCACTTGCAATGCATGAACATAAAACTGCGTCACTGTTGGATCGTTATCATCTTAATAATTGTTACTGTGCAAGTTTCACATGCGAGTTGTAGTTTGATTACGGAGGTTCTACCTCGTGGTATAATATATCATAATATCTATAATATGACAACATAATTGGCTAATAACCTCTCAAATATTTTACGGCATATTGAATCGTTCTTCCGTTCATAGTGACCGTTGGTCATTTAAATGTAGGGCGCTGTTTGACCGTATTTGAGCACATACAGTGCGAGATGCATCTCGCATCCTTTCATTTGCTACAGCATGTTCCTGCTCATCGAGGACGATGTTTCAGCAGCTGGTACGTCTTGTATGCCACCCCATGAACTTTAAGTAATAACAGATGATATAGCAAACTATACATTGTAACAAGCTACTGTACAGTATGCTACAATAATCGTACTGATGTGAATCGAACAACGAAACAACCACGAACGAAAATTCATGGTAATGAGATGGGACTGGGAGAATTCCGTGCCTGCGGGCAGCATGTAAAAGTCGACACGAGGCAAAGCATTGTGTTTGGCCGCAGCAGCAGCTGTTCGCCTCGGGTCGTTTACCAAGCGGTGACGTGCGAGGGCAACGTGACAGTGAGAAGCAAGTGGCACGGTCACAGGCATATGACCAGGTACCACCTGCAACGGCAGTGCGACGCCCG